GTCTGTGGGATATGTCCCGAGGGGAGGAAAGCAGGACTGAGAGCTTGCTCAGAGACATGTGGGGACTTCCCAGATGGCCCTAGTGGTAAAGAATCTGCCTGCCAATGGAGGAGATACAGGTTCAATCTCTGGGTGGGAAAGATCCCCTGGAGAAGGGGATCCACTCCAGTCCACTCCAGTATTCTTGCCTGGAAAATCCCATGGACAGAGAATCCTGGTGGGCTATAGTCCATGGGGTCGCAAAGAGTCAGACATGACTGAGTTAGCCTGTGTGTGTCTGGAGCCATGGCTAGCCACGTGCCTTCCAGACACCACACGTGTACTCTGAGCTGTGGGCTGTCACCCTCATGTTCAGTGCAAAGCCTGGCTGTTGTCTGTCAGCAAATAGGAGGACACAGACAGGAGAGACCATCTTCGCAGAGGTGAAAGAGTATCTTTCCACTGCATTTAGCATCAGAGAGACATGGGGGTGGAGCTTCAGCAAGCACTGATTATCTTCTGTTTCAGCACCAGCTGACCAGCAACCAAGACTACTGTTCACTCTTTCTCTCTTCAGTTTCCCAGCAACCACGCAGACCTGAGTGGAGGGAAACAACTGGCATCATTCAGGTGAAAACCCCATGAGTCAAAGTCCATTTTTCAACTTGGATAATTGTCTGTTGACTTGCTGGGGAATCCTCTTCCCTGGGGCGCAGACTGCTGGAGGAGTACCTGTAATAGTCTAGAGGCGATCACAGTGCCCGAAAGGGGAGCCAGGCCCAGCCATCGATGCCAAACAAGCCTCAAAGCATGTAGCTCTGGTCTGGGTCACGCCTTGCTTTTGAGGGCTGCATTCATGACTTGAGATGAAGTCACAAGCACTCAGTGTGTGAGCTGCCCGGGATCTTTCCCAGCCAATGAGCTTTGTTCTGACCCTTCAGCATCATGTCTGTGTCCTCTTCTTCAGGTTCCCTTGACTCAGTGATGCAGTCTTGCATATATCCTTCTACAGGGATGCTAAATATTCATCTGTTTCCTATTCTGGTGTGTAGAATGATTTAGGACCACAGACAGTGGAGCTAAGGCTTGGAGCTTGAACTGGGCTCATATGATTCTTTCTACCAGACAGACAGAAGGGCTCAATTGCATTAGAAATCAGAAGTGGACAAGAAGAAGCATTCAGTGAGGGTCTCCATCTTCTCCCGGGAGTGGCCTCTGCAGTAGCAAACTCTGCAGAAATATGTGTGAAAGATGGGGACTTCCCTGGTGATCCAGTGGTTAAGACTTTGCCTTCTGATGCAAGGGGTGCAGGTTAGGTAGCTAAGATCCCACATGCCTCAGGCAGAAAAAACAAAAGGTAAAACAGATGCAATATTGTAACAAATTTTTTTTAAAAAGACTTTAAAAATGGTCCACATTTTTAAAAAAAATTTTTAAGGAAAAAAGAGATTTGTGAAAGATGGACTCCCGGAAGGAAGGGACAGGAAAAAAGATGTCTTTAGCAAAGAGTGGCCCAGGAGGCAAGGATGAGGGTGGGGAGGAGAGGATGAGAAGAAGGATCATGTGGCTGAGTGAGTTACGGATGTGCTGAGGGTGAGCTCACAGTTTCCAGGGTGAATATATTTCTCCAGGGGAACTTCCAAGGTGGCAATATGTGCAAAGGGGAGGGAAAAAAAGGATTGGGTCTGAAGTTAGCAAGCCTGAGTTTGAGTCCCATCTGAGACAGAGTTACCTTTATTGCTTTGAGTAAGTTATTTACCATTTCTGAGCCCATTTCCCATGTGCAAAATGGAATCAGAGAAACCTACATCTTTGGGTATGGATGATTTATGTGAGTTGATCGTGGCCCTTGGGGACTGCACTGTTCAGCACTCTCTCTCGGAAATTCTTTCCAAGGAACTCAGGCCTCTATGTCTCAGTCTAAGCCACTGGCTTAGTGATGGCCCAGAGCTCCCCATGGACTTATCGTTGGAATTTCTAACCAAGGTATCTCCAAGAAGTAACATGTGAATAGCAGGGAAGCTCCTAAAATAAAAGTGAGGAGGAGAACGAGGTCTGTATAGGCGTAAGACTTTGGAAAGTCGGGCTGAGAGAGGACAATCTGGGTATAACGGAAAGAAGCCAGAGGCCAAGATCTGGTTTTAGTCCTGATTTCATCACTTACTGGTTGAAATACCAGTAAGTATGGTATACTATAAGCTCAAACATGCTACATTATTATTATTATTCTTTGGCCAAGCCACATAGCCTGTGGGATATTAGTTCCCCAAACAGGGATCAAACCCAGGCCCTGAGCAGTGAGAGCACAGAGTCCTAAACACTGAACCACCTCAGGTGCTGTATTATAACATAGACATTGGGTTTCAGGAACTGAGAAGGCTAGTGCTGGGGTTACAGGAGTTAGTATATTCTGACATCTCTGTAGTCTAGAATAAGAACTGCTCTGGGACTTCCCTGGTGGTCCAGTGGTTAAGAATCTGCCTTCCAAAGCAGGGGACAGGGTTTCAACCCCCAGTTGGGGAACTAAAATCCCACAAAACTGCAGGGCAACTGTGAAGCAACTACAGGAGCCCATGCACGCAGCGAAATCAAAATCTAAAAAATAAATAAAAATGAAAGCAGAGTCTGAAGAGGGAAGCAGAGTCCCAGGGTTTTCCTGACCACCTCACCCCTTCCCACCCCTGGTCCTCTTCAAGGACACCATTCAAGGTGTAAGAACAGAGAAGGAGTGAGAAGAGGAGGGCACAATATTGAGAGGTGCAGAAAAGATGTCTTTTTCCTTTTTCTTTTTTGTTTTCCGAATTTCTCTGGAATTCACTATTTGGACTAGAAACTTGACCTTTAAAGTGTTAGCTTTCTCTTTTGGTGGAATATTTTTTTCTCCTAAATGGCATGCTCCGTGTTTTATTTCTCTCCTCGTTCCCACATAATAAACACGTCAAAGCTCTGGTTCATTGAAGCAGTTGCATCTGTTTCTCCGGAGGGCCAAACTTTAAGGAGAGAATCATGGGGCTGCCACCAGTTTTCATGACAAAATCCTGAAAGTGATTCAGCCTAAAATCCAGGGCGGTCGCCCCAGTGAGAGAGAGACTTCACATGCAGGGACCCTGGTCACCTCCCTCCTGCCTCGGCCAAGCTTCTACACTCTGGGTGCTCCTGTCTTGGTCTCCTGGAGAGGAAGAAGGGGTGGCAAGTGTCCATATCTGTGGTCTGGACCTTCACAGAGACATTCCCCTGAGGCTACTGGTACAGAATTGTTCTCCAGACTCACCTTTGGCTAAAGAACTACATGGAGTTATAGGGATGTTCTCTCCTGGTGCTGCCTTGGTCCTCAAATGGGACCAATGGTACTGAGTGCTAAATGGATGCCGTGCTGTATCCTAAGCATGCACAGTTCCCACTTTTGAAGGCTTACAGCAAAGGTGGAAGACAAATTGTTGTTGATCAGTCGTTAAGTCATGTCTGACTCTTTGCGATCCCTTGGACTGTAGCACACCAGGCTTCCCTGCCCTTCACTATCTTCCAGAGTTTGCTCAAACTCATATCCATTGAGTCAGTGATGCAAGGACTCAATCTTGGAAGACGAGACTCAAACTCAAAATAAGTGTGTGCCTATCAGTGAATGGCTACGTATCATGCAGGCAATTGTGTTAAAGCTCCAAGGAGGGTGGGGTTACTCAGGACTGGGCTGGTCCAAGAAAGCTTCATAGACCTGAAACGGACCTTGGAGTAGGAGTCAGACCTGACCAACTGGAAAAGAAAATGTCTGGGAGGCAGTGAATAGGCTCTAATTTTAGCTGGAGCAGATTTCATATGGTCTTAAGAAGTTGGACAAGATTTTGGAAGGCCTTGAATTCCACACTTTAATTCATAGCCGTTAGACATTTCTGAGCAGGTGTAAAGGAGTTTTACAAGGACGATCTGGTGGTAGTGGAGAAGATGGGGGGGTGCAGGTGGGGAATCTGGAATTAAGTGCTAGTTAGAAAGTTACAATAGTCCAGTGAAGCCTGTGGGACAGTGCGGCATCCAGCTACTCTCAGTAGTAACCTAGAGAAGGGGATCGGCACTCAACTATGTGAGCTTCTGTCTTTGAACCGTATTTTGCATGCAGTTCATTTGGCTTTAAAATATCTAGGAAGGCTTGTAGTCCTCCACTTTCTCTATAGTCTCCTGAGTGTCCTCCCCAGGAGAAAAATGGAAAAAGAAAACTGCACTGTTCCTTTAGATAGTCCACTCTGCCCCTCTGAACTCTTAACCCTCATTTAAATAAGAGGATAAAATGTAACCTGCCTGGAGGAATATCTTGATGAAGTTTTTTAATTCAAGGAGTGAGTTTCCTTATGCTTTTTTGTTTTTTGACTTGTAATTTTTTCCTCAGAACCCTCCAACATCCACTCTCCCACCAAGCTCTGTCATCCTAGTCAGAACTGCTTGGGGTCACCCTGGGGGCTGTGTAACTCCCCCAGGGCCTCTTGGAGATGTGCTGGGAGAGGGGACTACGGCTGAACGAAGGGGCCCTGGCTCCCGGACTCCGATGTCCACTCTAAGGCAAGAACAGGGTCGCTGCAGGCCACGAAACGCCCCCAGAGGAAGCCTCCCCGCGCGCCCCCGCGCCCCGCGTGTGCCCAGTTCGACACCACTTGCACTTTGGGAACAAACCTGCCGGGTCTCCGTCCCGCGCAGAGTTTGGATCACAACTGCCCGCTGCGCCCCACGCACCCCGATCGGCGGAGGCTTTGGGGAGTGACCAGTAAGGCGGGAGCAGCAGTCCCCCTCCCGCCGCTTTTCGGGGGCGGGGCCCACCTGTGGCCGGGGGCGGGGCCGGGCCGGGGGCGGGGCAGGTGGGTCGCGGGCGGGGGCGCGGGGCGGGGCGGCGCACCTGGGGAACCTCCTCGTGGGCAGAGCGAGGTCTGGCGGCTGCAAACCCACAGCCGGCGTGGGCAGGAGCCGGGGGCCGGGGCGGGCGGCCGGGGCGCGGCGCTGAGCGAGCGGGCGGGCTGGCGGGCCGGGGGCGCGGGGCCATGGGGGGCCCCCGGGCCGCGCGGCTCCGGCTGCTCCTGCGCCCGGTCAAGCTGCTGCGGAGGCGCTTCCGGCTGCTGCTGCTGCTCGCCGTGGTGTCCGTGGGGCTCTGGACTCTTTATCTGGAACTGGCGGCGTCAGCCCAGGTCGGCGGGAACCCCCTGAACCGCAGTGAGTAGCGCCGGGGCGCGCGGTGGGGAGGGGCAGGGCCGGCGGCCCCCGCCTGGGAGTCGTCCCCCCCATCGCGGACCGGGTGTCCACTCGCGGGGTCCCCAGATGCCGGGCGCCGGTGGGACCCGGGTCACCCCGGCGGCGCTGGGCTCACAGACCCGCTGCCGGAGACACGCGTCCACGCGGGCTGGGTCCATGTCCCTCTGGGTCCCTCGGCCGCCTCCGCCAGGCCGCGCGCTCCTGTCTGCGGGGCCCAGACTTTGCTCCCTGCCGTGTCTCCACGGCTCGCTGGGTTCGCTCCCCAGGTGCGTTTTCGGGGAGGGTGAGAGGGGGTTCTTTAACGATAAGGCCGAGAGCCACCCGCCGCTCCCCCCTCCCCCCGCCACCTTCCCACAGGCCACTCCCCTCCCAGCCCCTTCCTCTTCCTCCAGTCGCCCACCTCCCGCTGAGTGGCCCCCTCTCGGGGTCCTGACCGCGCACTGTCCCCACACAGCGAGTTGTCTGCAGCCCCCAGACCACCCTGCAGAATGGGCTGAACCCCGGACCCCAGTCAGGGCGCAGTGGGCAGCTCCGTGGACCGGACGGTGGGTGGATTCCTACTCTTCCAAGGGAGCCAGAGCCACTTAATTTTTCTCTGCCTTGGCTTCTTCCTAGGAAAACGGGAGAGGATTGTCTTGAGAGAGAGCTTTGCTTCCACAGGCATGGCTAGGCGAGGCGATTTTCAGTTTACTACTGATGGAGTGAAGTAAAAATCCTCGGTGTCAGGACTGTGTGAAAGGTCACTGTCACAGTTGGGATAAAGAGAATCTCCCAGAACTGCCAGGTGTCCTTCCCGGGCCTGAAGGGTGGAGGTTTATAATCCCAGAATGTTGTCTGGAATTCTAGATAAACATTCCCCCCATTCAGGAAACCAGAGGAGCGGCTGGTTCTGAAGCTCTGCTGAGAAGATGCTCTGAGTTCTTGTGTCAGCTGCTCTCCCCCGGTTTGGGCGTGGTGCTTTGCCTCCTCTTGTGGCCAAAGACAGGGAATTACTCCGGTCAGTAATTGAGCCGCTTCAGGATGGAGATAGATACTTGTGGCAGAACCTCTGCCTCTGTGGCTGTGGAAATATTTCTGGCTGTGGTGAGGAGACTGAGGTTCCATCCCTGATTCTGCTGCTAACGAGTTGGGGAATCCAGGGGCAGGTGGCTGCTGCTCAGGCCCGAGGGGGAAATTGGTCCCTTTTCGTGTGGGCAGTCAGATTGTGTGATCCCCCGCCTGAGCATTGCTGGGGTCCGGGCCGAACGGTGTGAGGAAGGGTCTTCCCAGTCAGGTCCATGGCTCTAAGGAGGAGGGTGCTTCCCTCTGAAGACCGGTCTGCCGTCCCGCAGCTGGTCTTCCCTCCCCAAGCCTCGCTCTTCCCTCTGAAGGACAGAGTGGGTGGACACTCCCAGACCCATGGCCACTCAGAGCGACCCACGTGGGTGAGCCCGGGTGAAGTGTTGGGTGGGCGGGAGGTCCAGTTGAGATCTGCCTTCTCTCCTCCTTGGGACACTCCCTGTCAGTGTGGCCACCATCTTGTCAAACGTGGGAGCCTGTGGGGTCCTCTGCACAGATTAAAACCAGAGGGGAAGGCCGTTGCTTGGTGACCTGAGGTGAATGACCTCCTTTTCCCCTCCCTCACCCTGTTTTCCTCAAGAGCACTTCTCCTCAGAGAGCTGGGGTGCCATAGTCATTCCCTCTCACACCTGCTCCCAACCTCTGTCTCCTGTCTGCTGCCTCATCCTTCGCCATCCGAAGTTCCTGGGTCTGTTTGCTTTCTCTTCTCGATGCACCGTCACTCTCTGCCTGGGTTTCCTTATTCTTTGTTTCCTTTTCCAAACTGACCCTTCTCCAAAGGAATGTCCCCAGCTTCCTACTCCACACTCAGCTTTCCGTTCCTCTAACCCTCGTCTTTAAGGGTCCTCGGGGGTCCAAGCCTCCCCTTACCGACTCAACGGACGTGAGTTTGAGCAAACTCCGGGAGAAGGTGAAGGACAGGGAAGCCTGGCAAGCTGCAGTCCATGGGGTCACAAAGAGTCGGACACGACTTAGCCACTGAACATCAAGCCTCTTCTCAGCCTCTTGGAACTCCTCAAGGCCACCTGCTGCCAGGGTGGCTTTTCATTCCGGGCTGTCCCGTCATATTCTACTCTTTTCTTCTTCTTTTAAAAGTTGGTTAGTTAGTTATTTTTGGCTGTGCTGCGTTTTCATTGCTGTGTGAGGACTTTCTCTATTAGTGATGAGCAGGGGCTACTCTGTTGTGTTCAGGCTTCTCCTTGCGGTGGCTTCTCTTGCTGCGGAGCATGGGCTCTAGGGCTAGGGAGCTCAGTAGTTGTGGCTCTCAGGCTCTAGAGCACCAGCGCAGGCTCAATAGTTATGGCTCGCGGGCTTAGTTGCTCCGGGGCATGTGGGATCTTCCCGGACCAGGGATTGAACCCGTGTCCCCTGCATTGGCAGGCAGATTCCTATCAAGTTTACCACCAGGGAAGTCCTCTACTCTTTTCTGATTTCCTGTTGGAATGAGATTTTTAGATAGTGGCTGTGATTTCTGGCTCCCTGACTCCCGTCATTTGTCTTTAAGAAGCCAAGACACCAGGCATTAAGGTCTTCTCTTGTCTTCTAGGTCTTGCTCCCAGCTGTTCCTCTGGAGGGAGAGTGGGGGAGGAGGACTTGGGAAGCAGAAGGCTGGGAAGAGGGCTGCAGGCCTTCCTCGCCATATACCCTGGCACACAGCAGCAACTGGAACCCCATCTTGACTACCCTGCCTCCCTCTAGCAGTCCTGCCAGCTCGCCCCACCACCAGCCTTCCTGTCATCTGTAAGGCCAGCCTCCATTACCAGGAACCTTTCATTTGCCTGTCCCCGAGTGGCTGCCGCCCTGATCTGGCACTGGGAGAAGTGTGGGGAGAGATGGCAGTTAACAGACTCCAGGGTGGTAAGGTAATGACAGGGAGCGTGCTTCCTGCTGCTTCTCAGAGTAACCCCATAGTTTGACATGGGTGATGTGCAATTTGAGCTCCATATTAGAAAAAGATACAGCCACATGGGGAGTATCCAAAATCGTTCACAAATATAAAAATAGGTTCCTTAAACAAAAGACAGAGAGCTGTTCACTTGCTCATTTAAACAAATATTTGTTCAGCACATAGCTCGAGCAGGGCATTATGCTCTGTCACTTAGATGTGGTGATGACTCCGTTATGGTTTCTGTCTCTCGCAGCTTTCCCTCTTGGAGGGCAGTTCGGGTGCATGTGTGAAAATAACCACAGTATGAGACAACCATCATGTTTTACATGGGTAGAACCTACCTGTTGCTGTGACACTTGTGAAAATGAGACATGGCTCTTTGAACTAGTAATTCTTGGAAGTGGTGACATTTCAGGAGAACTTGAGGAGTTGGTAAGACTTTAGCAGATGTAGAAAGAGAACGATGTTCCAGGCAGAAAGGTCAGCAGAAGCCCAGACCAAGGGTCAAGAAGTTCATGTTGGGGAGTGTTGGGTGTCTGGGTTTGGTGAAGGAGAATGGTGCCAGATTAGGGAAGACTTTTAACAACCTTAAATGGTGGTGTTTATTCAGTAGATAAGAAAATATTTCAAAGTTTTATAACAGAATAGGAGCAGGAAAGGAAATAGTGAAACTGTTTAAGAAGACTGTACTTTGCTGTGGACAGTGGTGCGGGGTTGGGTTGGAAGTTTCCATGCTGTGGCTGCATTGGCCTTCAGCTGTTGGGTCATGGAGCTCCACTGGGGACAGGTCAGGGCTCTAGTGGGACATTCAAGGGTCTGGGGCAGTCACTATATGCCAACACGTTCATAAATGTTCCAGTGTTTCGAGAACTGGCACAGCTGTACTGGTGTGTACTGGCTGAAAGCAACGCTGGGCACAGACTACTACTGGAAGTTAAGGAGTCCGTTCTGGCAGGTTTTAACGAGCCAGACCCATTTGTTCAGATTGGTTTAGCTTCGTCCTGCCCGAGGGCAGAGGTCTGGACTAGAATGGTTTCTAGGTTCTCTGATCTGTAACTGACCTGCTGCTGTGACCAACTGGATGCTGGAACCAAGCAGTCATCTCTGGGCACAGAGCCAGAGCCAAGCAGTCGTGCATACCAGCCTCTTTCCAGATCTCACAAGGCTGGGTCTGCAGTGTCCCCATGTAAAGGCCCAGTTTACCTGCTGAACTACCCAGAGTGTCCGCAAGCTCAGGAATTCATTGGCTTGCACCACCTGAAACCTAAAACACCTCTCTCTGGCTGGCCTTGCAACTCCTAATGGACTCTGAGCGGACTGGGGAGGTACAGCCACAGAGGTCAGGCTGGCCCTGCAGCTCCTGGGGTCACCACAGCCATTCTGACTTGGAAGTGATGCAAACCCTCCAGTCATGGAGGTAACTCAGGGTAGAAGAGTAATCTGAGACGCAGACTGGGAGAGAGGGAGAAGGAGGAGAGACAGATGTGTGGGCTGAGCCGGGATGCTGAGACTCGGAGCAGCAGAGGCAAGTGGGGACGGAAGCCCAGCTGCTCCGTGGCTCCTGGAACCTGTCCACGCCGCCCTGGGCTGGGCTGTCCCTCTGTCTCCTGGACCCTCTGGCTCCTGTCCCTCTGTCCTTCTTATGTTGTAGGACACAAGTCCTCTGTCTCTTTATGCTGCCATTCTGGCCATCCAGCTGCCGCGTGCAACTTCAGATCAGTATTCAGTTCAGGGAAAATACTGGGCACTCAGATACCTCTTGGGTATGGGTGGTAAGCTCTGAATTTCCAAGCACCTGATATTTTCCACTGGCAGATACTTTGTTTATCAGTGATGGATCCAAGAATAGAACCTAGGAATTCTTGCTCCTCGTCCATAATACATAGAAACAACAATAGCCTTTAATGCAAATGAAAGGATAAGAGTGATGCCTTCAGTGCTTTTTTATTAGAAGTGTGTTTCCTTTGGACCAGTGCGGTCTGCAGCAGGCCTGGGGGAAGCAAGGACAGGGACT